ATTATTAGCTATTAAGTAATACAGAGATGGAGCAGTTCATCTTTTAGACACTGGATAGTCACTGAACAATAGACTTGAGGAGGCAAGCCTCACAGAATGTCTCATACGGAGGTTGCTCACGCCCCCTGGTGGTGCTGTGGTGCTGAGCCTGTAGAGGAGTCCGAGACCTTCCTGATGCTGGAGGTGTTATCTGAAGCAACCGAGTTGATAAGATTGTTCTTGTTGCAGCGACCCCCCGCTGTCACAGAGTGGCTCCAGTCTGGACACAGGAGGCAAGAAGAGAGAGAAAAAGAAGGATCATGAAATGCTTCCTGCTGCCATCAGGCCATGAATCATAGGACACTGCATGTCCACAACAAAGAACATGGCTTTACAGCAGGCACCTGAGTTATCACTGAGCCTGAAGCGTCCGCAGCACAAGTGGATTCTCCACTGTTTCCTCACATTCTCCTTCATCACACAGTGGAACAAGAAAATAAAGAAGCCTGGGACACAGAGAGCAGAGACATGGACACAATCCTCTGTCAATTTGTTTCTACTTTTCTTATATGGTATAGGAATTGTATCGTTTTCTTTAGTGTTTTTTTCTATCTCTCTAAAAAAATTTATTTCATCATTTCATTATATTGCTATTGCAGCTCTCACATTTTGTCAAGAAACGAGAAACCTATCATTAAATGGCACATTTTCAATTTCTAAAACCAAGGTGATAAACTGTAAGTGCATGAAAAGTATGGTGTTGAATGTCAAAACAATCATGCGAACATCATGATGTGAAGAAATTGGATTTTAAAACCTCCCTAAGTATAGAATGCAGTCAAAATTACATACATGTGAGAACCAAGATAATTACACACTCCTTTGTAAATCATAACCATTCTACACTTCAGCTGATATTTACCCTGCAGAGTGTTGAGGATGGAGAACAGGTACATAATGAGCACTCGACCTGGCCCAAAGGAGAAGAAACCCATTGACCATGTCAGGCCCAGGAGGACGGTGAGACTGGCCACAGCCCTCAGATCATGCAGCGAGCCGACGCTGTTTGCTGAGGGCTTATTGGCTCTCATCTGTCTGATCTGAATCAGAACCACGATGAACACGGAGAAGTTACACAACATGATCAGGAGAACAAATGCCACCACCGTCACATAGAAGAAGACGTCATCCTGCAGCCAGCAGCTGGAGAGAGGAAGACAGGCGACCATGTCATTTACACTGGGATTTATGATGAATGTCAGCAATTTTATTTTTGTTGTTATTTTGGATTTTCCTCAATATCCCCGGTATTTTCGAACCCGAGCTAAAGACCAATGCTTTTAATCCCTCTTATTACAAATGGTTTTATTGCTTTTGCTTGTTTTACACTCTATATTTGCTCTTATTTTCTTATCATTCTTATTTTATATTTCCATTTATTTATTCATTTATTTTGTCCATCAGGGTTACCATACTGTGTGCTCACTTGAGGTTGCCTTTGAGTATAAGCACATTAACAGTTCTTTCCTTTGCCTTGGCACATTTTTTGCTTCCATACGTTTTATCAGCCACCAAAAAGATCTCACAATTTCCATCACATAATTAAGACATGATGCTCACTGCAGCTCAGTTCTTACAATGGGTCAGTGGACTGATGCATGCTTGCAGCCTGTTCAGCTGCAATGTTGCCGTAAGCGTCTTTATCTATAGCCAGCACCAGACCAACTATGACCAGAGGAATACCTGTGAAAACACACAAACATACATGTAGTAAACTAAACATATTCAGGTAAACTTCAACATACTATATGGAGAGTATTCAGGGCAAAAGTTT